CCTCGTGCGACTCTTTCGCTTCTTTAGTGCTTGGCAACCTCCCGTGTGCATCCGTGCTCAATAGTGTACGCTGCGGCGTTTACCCTTTGTTAAAGATAAAATGTCTTACAATGGGGTACTTTTGTCAATTTAGATCGGAGCCATTCAGAATTCTGTGGAATATCACCTTGGAATTCTGAAGAATGCCAAAGTGAACGAAGGTAACACTTACATGATAATTCTGGAGAAGTCAATCTCAAACTAACAATGCCATAATCCTTCTCTTGTGTTAGAACCTTCACTGAATTATTCGGGCGTTTAATTGTTGTCTGCATTTCGAAAGTGAAGTTATGATGGATAATAGTGAACTGGGGAAAAAGCATATACATCATGATACAAAAAAATGGTTGATTGTTTCATTCCGAATTATTGCATTTTGCACCTGGGAAAGATACTTCGGTCTGCAGTGCCTCTCTTTAACTAGGAATAAAAATTGGTACCGGCGAATTATAATGGGGTAAATGGGGTATGATAGAATACCTTTGGGGGTGGGGGGAGTGGGGAAATCTTTGCCTTGCATCCCATGGGGGTGGGTTGGTAACAATACCCACAGTCACTTTATGCTATGGAAACCATTCTAGCTTAATTGGCCACCTGGATCGAGTGCAGACTTAGCATCCCCGAGATAACCGAGATGAGACCCAACCACTGTGGACTCTTATTAAGCCATTAACACTTAAGCGTCCCTATTAAATGCATTTTTTTCCTAAAGAACGTGAATACAATAGCGTCGACGAAATCCGAACAGCAATTGAGGAAGGCGAAATTGACGGTGCTTTGTTAGACACGTATGTGGCTGCAGAACATAAAGAAACACTTTTCAATGACAGAGTGTATGTCAAAGAGATCTTAGACAGACCAATTGGTTACGGAGTGGTTCTTTCTGGAGCAGCTGTGAGCGTGGAGCAAAGATGCCGAGACTACATCAATATGCACATAACTGAGATATTTCACATCATCCAGAACATGACAAAGACTCTTGACGTAAGTAATTCCAAAGGGGTACTCCAATTTGGTTTCACTTGTTCCTGAAGTGGGAAACCAAGGTCACCCTGTCTGTGACTATAAAATGTTACGTCACTAATTGAAAACGACTGTATAGATTTTCAAAGAATTAAAAAAAAAAACCCACTCTATTCATATTGATATCTAGGAAATATAGAAAAAGACAACAGGGAGGCCATAGTAACCATAGTAATAGTAATAATAATAGTAATCAAAGTTTAAAGTCTTTACGTGGGGCATGGCTACCCATATTGCCTGAGCCAGAGGTTCACGTGTGAAACGCAAGACAACAACCCACCCATCCCACCCCAGGGGAGGACATCCATCACACAGTGATCTCGTGCGTGGGAAACTAACATCTCCTACCGCTGCAGGAGACGGGACCTCCATTTATTCGTCCCTATCCGAGAAGACTAGAATATCTAAACCATTTCTTGATGTTATAGAAAGGCAGCATATTCTTCTCAATTATTTTAAGACCTTCAGTGTTGGTCCGGCCGGGGCTCGGACCCTCGACTTCCCGAACATGGTTAGCTCAATGGCCATGAATATCAAGGGGGGAGGGGGGGGGCAAGAATGGGAGAAGTTGGATAAATAAAACTGAATTACTTATGTCGAACTTGAAAATTCAAGCTGAATATTTTTTTTAAGATGTATAGATAGTAATTTGCAATTGCAGTGGTTCCAATTCAACCATTTTATTAAATAGTCAAAACATTGGGATTTGGGAAGGAATCATTGTAGAAAAAAACACATTAAATTATAATTGAACAAGTCAATGAAAAGGCAAACCACCCTTGTTACATCTTTGAGAATATGCTCAATTACAAAGTAGTAAGTAATTACAAATGTTAGGTTTTGTGAAATATTTTCTTCTCAACTTTAGAATTAGGTTTACCTCTAGTTTTATTGAAAAGAAGTATATCTCAGGAGAGTGGAATAAGGTTTGTGCATTCACGTTTTCCAGGCGCCAGCTGAAAATTTTGCAATGGAACAAAGCACGCGATTGTTTGACAGCACATCTGAGATGTTCCGTATCGCCATGGCCTCTCTCCTCGCCGTCCTAGGTGTTGCCCTCTTGGGCGGGCTTTCCTATCATTTCTTGATATATCTTCCCCGAAGAAAAAGAAGTAAGCAGATTTTTATTAGCCTTGATTTAGGTATTACAAAAAGAAATTGCACAAATTGAGGTTTATTTTCCGTTCAAGTATTACAAGAAAAGTGAGAAAATAAGGGTTTATTTTTCCGTTTTGATTATCGTCTCGTGTGATTTTCATACGTCATGATGACGTACCATTTTTAAAATTCGTTTCTCACGTCACGTCAAAACAAAGCCGTGTGGTTATTAATTTTTGAATAGTTAACCTTTTACATCAGTATCTATATTATCCACGCTGCTCTCTATATGTTTCCTTTGGGACTAACAAGGAGAATTTGTTTAACAATCAGAGCTATTTGGGTAGGCGATCATTTCCTTTATTTTCATGACGTTTACATTTGATTCAGTGATAATACTGCTGGGAGAGATTGGGTCCAAAAAAAAAAATAAAATAAAAAAAAAGCAAACTAAAGAAAAAAGAAGTGAATAATAACCTGTATAAAAGAGATTTGTCGAGTTTCTCGACCTTTCGTCCCCAGTAAATTTGATTAGAGTAAAGGCTGGGATATGCTACTGTTAGGGAAATTTTCACTAGAGTGCCTAAGGTATTCTGAAACAATATTGGTTTGCTTTCGTTGGTGTATGCTCTGCAACTGCTTTTGAAACTGAGAACCCACCCTTCTTAGCCTTGGTTTTGTTTTCTTTTGGTTTTTTTCTGCACTTTAGATCAATTCTTTAGACAGTAGTGATATTTAGCACCAAGTTTGCGTGAAAGGCGAATGGTAAATGTGACCACGTGACCTTGTTTTTCCCGCAATTTTTTCACGCTTGCCGATTGCGCCTTACCATTTCTTGTCTCGCGTTTGCCGTGTACTTACGATTTATTTTTTTTCTATCACTGATTAGAATTTAATTGCCGGAAAAAGAGCACCAAAAATGTTCCTTGAAAGTCATACAAGGACGCCTTGAAATCCTCCGTGACGTGCGCTCGCGCGAAAGTAAAGCAGCAAGGTTCACACTACTTTACTTGAAACGTGAAAGAGCAAGCTGACGTTTGCAGTTTCACTTAAACGCGGTGTTAAATCTCTCTAGTGTATTGAGGAAAGGCGTGGGCGCGAGCTCTCTATTTTTGTTCCCAGCAGTTTGTTATATTATTTTTTAGTTAATGAGGAAAGGACCACTGAGCTACAGTGCAGTTACCGGAAGGCTCTAAAAAGAGAAATGATGGCGTTCGTGGATTCTTTCTACGAGGACATGTCCAAAAAGATTTCCTCCATCAAGAAGGAGCTACAGCAGGAAATTTTAAATAAAAAAGCACGACCAAAAAGCACAGTCCAAGTTGATAGATCTGCAGAGAGCTCCAAAAGAGACACAGAGAGTAGTCTCTTGGGTAGCTGCTCGACACTTTCGAGTTGGACCAGTGAGACACAGTATGAAAAGTGTAAGCAGATTTTCGAACTTGTCTCAAATAGTGGAAATATTCAACTCGAGCGGGGATCACAACAAGACTTGCAAAAACCCTTCCCATCTTCCTCTGGAGAAAACTGTTTTTCTCAGACGTTACCTAACGTGGTAATTTCTGACGACGATGTAAAAAATGGAGATTCGTCTTGTTAAGAGCACGAAAACAAATTCTAGGGCTACGTTGAAGTAAAATGATATTAGAGATAAAATATTATTTTGTGTGAATCCGCCCCGTATGTTCCAGCCGAATGATTGAACACGAGATCAAACCAAAAGAAAAGAAGCCGCCTAACATTAATAAGCAACGCGTCGTTTACTTTTACAAGTGTGGTTTATGCGATGGAAACTACGTCGGGTATACATACCGACACCTCTATCAGAGCGTTGAGAAACACAAAGGACCGTCTTCAATCCGGAATCACATTAAAGAGCAACATGGAGCAGTCCTAATTGACATATGTCGTGATTTTAACACTCGAGAAAGATCCAAAGTAGATTTGATTGCCTGATCTACGAAATGCTCTTTGTAAAGGAACTTAAGCCAACCTTGAAAAAACAGTCTGATTCAATCCGTTTTAATTTGTTTACATAGTTTAGTATTTTATTATTTTAACACTTACATTTTAGCGCTATATTTTTTTCGTTGGACATTTTCATGTCCTATTTAGTACTTATATAGGTATATTTCATTCGCTTTTTCCACAACATAATAATGATCTCAGTGACACGGAAACGTCGTTTTTTATCACCAGTTTTCATTCTGAAGTAATAATGAGTGTAAAACCTAGAATAAAAAGTAAAACCCTATTTTGGGAGCGCCCAGCGTGTCTTTCTCCATCTTTTTTTCTTAATTATTATTATTTTTTAATCTAATTTTTTTTATTATTTTTTCAATTTTTTTTTTTTGCTTGTTTGTATCTTTTCTAATGGTTTGTTTGTTGGTTTTTTCTTTGATTTTTTGGAAGCGCATGACGTAAAACCAGTGATGTCATTGCCATTAGACTATGTAAAGCGGGAAAATAATGCGAACGCTGGAAGTGTCAGTTCTAGAGAAATTCCTACCGCTGTTTCTGCCATTCTATTTCGACCTACAATTAAAGGGGAGTGACCACAGAGTTTGTGCGGATGATTTTGGTCTGCCTTTCAAAGTCAGAAACCTCATTTGATTTCAAAATAATTTGGTAAAATCGATACTTGCGATAAGTCTTGCACATGGGAAGAGCTTGTCAACTACAAGAAATTTCAGCTTTATTTTTTAGCTATGTTAGAGCTTAGATAAGAAACACGTCATTTCAACAGTATTGCCACGCATGTCGTCAAATATGTCAAGGGCGAGGTCTGGAGGCTGGAGATACGCTACTGAGTGGTTGAAATTCGGCGTTAAGGGTATCATTCTCGAAGTCGACCACGGGGGAAATCATTTCGTAATAAATTATTTCAAAGTATTATCCGTTTCATTCCATTGTTGTTGTTGTTGTTGTTTTTTTTTTTATCGTTATCTTTGAAAATTACTCTTAGAGTTAGATTTGAAGAGGAATGACGTTTGAAACAAAAAGTGCAAAACATTTTCTTAACAGCAGCCACAATGACAGTCTTTATTGATCAACATAAAGTAAATGTTCTGGGAGCCACTTAAAGTGCTGTAATGAATCTATATTATTAATCGTCTTCGTCCTACGTCAAAAGATCTAAATTAAACAGAATGCCTCATTGCTTGATTACAAATGGAAATATGTCCTGACACAGATCAATGAAAACCATGTGTATTTCAAATCAATTACTCTTAAAGCTGGTTAAACGGCGTCAATGATTCTATACCATTAAGTCTATTAATCTTTGTCGTCTTGCGGCATAAAAATTACATTAGATAGTCTCCCTACTTATGATAATGATAAATGGAAATATATCAAGTAGAAATAAGGAACTCGTGTTTATAATTAATTCAAAGCCAATGCTCTTCGAGCTACACAGACAGCTTCGATGAATCTAAACCGTTTATTTTTGTTGTCTAATGGTAGAATATCCAGATCAAATCGAATGCCTTATTGCTAATGAACACCGCTATGGGTATCCTGTTAAGCCTGTAAAATTACCATAGTAACATTTAGCAGTATCTTATCCATAAATCAATCTAACATAACGCTATACTTCGCTACGCAGGTTGAAAGCGTGACACTAATGTAACGCTACTTCACTGCGTAGGTTGAGTGCGTGACACTTATCGCGGTCACCACCAAGGCTCAAGGTCTCTCCCGAAGAGTTTAAGGCAGCGGTGTTTGCATAAGGACTATGTTTTCCATGCTCTACAATACTCTCCGCTGACTTAGATGCCAAAGGTCGCTGTCCCACAACTGAATAAAATCCCTGAGATGAATCTGAGTAGATTGGATTAGTTACAATATTTTTTAAGAAAAAAGAACCGCCTTGTTTAGAATTATTTCTATCCTCTCTAATCTCTTTTAGTGCTTGTCTGCATTTTCCCATTTCTGCAGTTATTCGAGTGGACATCTGTGAGTGAAAAATGCGGACGGAGTCTCTCATTTCTGCAACCAGAGCTTTTTTGTGAGCGAGTTGAGATGAAGATGCTTTCAATTTGTCGGCTGAAAAAGAAAAGACAGAAAGGTAGGGAGCATTTATTTACGATTATTAATGAGCCCAAAAATACAAGTTGGATCCTATAATGATTTAGGAAAAAGAAATTCGCAGTAACTGCATGACTATCAAAGCCTGCCCCACCCCACCCCCCAAAAAATCGCTTAAGATGGGGCGGGAACTGTTTGATGGTAACGTCTTTCTGTCCTCTCTATCCCTGCAAATGAGATGCAGTCATTAAAATGAAGAAGTGTAATTATGACACTTTTATTTGCCCTTTGACTCGCAGAATATGATCGTTAATTCTCCCCTCTAACTGCTTTAGGTTTGCTAGTAAACTGGTAGAAAGAATTTGGTGTTAGATCAGGTTAACTAATTCCTGATAAGTTTCAGTATTCTCATTTCCTGTTTGCTAAATAATGTAAGGATGTCATAGGGATAAGTTACAAGTTCATCACTTCTAGGAGTTAAAGGGTTATAATGGGTAAGAATTCCCATAGCAGCCAAATTTTAAACCCCTACGGTTGCCTAGAAATACATTTAATTCTTAAACTACATCTGTACTGAATCTTGCCAAATATTCATTCAAGACAAAAAAAAAACAAAAACAAAAAAAAAACAAAAAAAACAAAACAAAAAAAACAATTCGTCCTACCTCTCCTTTGGTGTGGAACGAAAATCAGATAGTGATAAGTAATGCCACCAAGGACGGCAAATCCTAGCATTCCACATAAGGAAGCTAAGGCTATAAGGAACATTTCAGACGAGCCGTCGAACAAGTCTGTACTTAGCTCTACAGACTCATCTGGAGGAGCAGGCTGTGAAAGGCGAGAAGAAACAAGCGCAGAAAAAAAAATTAAGTTTCGAAAATTAAAATATTAACAAAAAAAACCCCTATTTTTAATTGTTTTGAATAAAATAAAGATAAAGAAAGAAAAAATATACGGGCCAGGTATTATTGGGAACCAGCCATTAATTATCGCCTGCAGGGAGCTGGAGGATTTCAGGGGGATCACATAGTTTTCAAGAGGGAAGGGAGGGGTCAGTTGTCGTTAACAGTCATTCGCTCCTACAGAGACTTTAGGACTCCTCTTCCTCCCCCCCCCCTCCCCTCTTTCCCCCATCCCTGGCTATTAATAACAACTGTTCCCAAGATTTTAGATATTTTAAAGACAATATTGATATAAGACCTTAGCGATGAAAGAATTTTGGCTTCAGAAGAGTTGCGAAAACGTTCATAGGCCTGGTTGAGGTCAGCATCAAGTGCTCTCTTCCTAGTTTTTTTCACTGATAATAAGAACATCTAGCAAATAAAACGCCAATTTATAGAGTCAGTATCAACCAGGCTGTCACTAGATTTATAAAAATAAATCCCACTTGCATCAAGTGTCTTTGTGGAGTTGGGTATCATGTGAGATATATAACTCATGTGCTGGTTGATGTAATCGCGACATCTCTGTTCCACATTCACTGCTGCTCCCGACAGAACAACTCCATAACCAAACGGCCTGTCTAAAATCTGCTTCACATATATTTTGTCGCTGAAAAGCTCGTCTTTGTGTTCTGCAGCAACGTAGGTGTCTATAAGAGCACCCTCGATTTCTCCATTCTCGAGCGCTGTTCGAAGTTGTTTTAAATTTTTGTAGTTCTCTTCTGTGGATGAGCAATGATATAATTATTGTTAGCGTCGGCCTCTTTTAAAATTCTAATCTGAAGGACTATAAACAGGTTATTGCAACCCCTAACTAAGTCTCCAAGGAAAGAGCGGATTACTAAATTTTGCTTTATTTTGTTTTGCGCTTGGTCATTAAGGATAACGCATTCTATCGTCTTAACCAAGCAGATGTAATGCTAAAGCAAATCGTGGCAGGGCTATGTTTTTGATTTTCTGTTTTTGTATTGTTTGTCTCGTGCTTTTCAGCTTTTTATCCCGCGTGCAAGTTGCTTTTTTTATCAGAGCTACTGAGCTCCACCCATTTTTCAACGAACCCGATATACACCTAAATTCTCTTGATCATCTTTGGGGATTTATATATTTACCTTCATTTACCCTTGCATTCTTCAGGGTACCGATTCGATGTTCCGTGGAGTTCTGAATTACTCCAATCTAAATGAAATAAAGAGAACTTTAATCAGAAGAGTCACCCAATGTTTCAAAGAGGTTGTTATGTTCGCGTTTGTCTCAGGAGTTTATACACTGCAGCTGGAGCTATTTCTGTACAGAGATCGTCAGCTATACACTCGCTACATCTTGCAATGCAACTTGTGTACAGACAACGTGAGATTTCAATTGTTTAGTAAAATAACATCAGTAAGACCTTTTAACCTGTTATGTGGCGTGTGCAGGAAAACTGTTTTGGTTTTGCTAACGAAACTCACCTTTGAACCATACAATATTACTGGATATTTGACAGTGACAGAGGTCAGCGCCGAGGCAATTGCACCGACAAGAATTGAGATGATAACGAGTCCTGTGAGGGTCCATGTGATTCCAAACATACGGGCAGGAACAGAACGGGGTGAACGGTCTCCATAACTGAAAAATATAAATAGACAGACCGTCAGACGGACAGACTAACGGACAGACAGACATTCATCATCATCATCATCATCATCATCTTTATTTGTCTTATTTTAACAATTAAAAAAATAGTTAATTACAGCGATAACAGTTAGAAGGCGAGGAGACCCAAGAAGCCACCAGGCTTATGGGAGAGCCACCTCACTTACAATAATAAATTAAGTAAAGAAAAAGTGCTGCGAATGTGCGGCTTGGCCAATTCAGAGAGACAGGCGGAAGGACAGAAAAACAGATCGAAAGAAAGACAGGCAGACAGAGAAGCAGACAGACTAACCATGGAAGTAGAAATATTGCAACTTCAAAGTGGCCGTTAAGTGAGGAAAAGGGAAGGGGAGAAGCTTGAAACAGAAAATATGATTTCCTACAAAGTATTCATCAAATTTGAGTCTAGGAATGTAAATGCGAGTTAAGTAACAAAACTTTGATTTCTGCTTCAGGCCTCTCACTCGCCCTCCACAATAAAGAGTAACTAGCATCTATTTTCTCGTTACTCACTGCAGAATCACGCGCTAAAGTCACGATAAATAGTAAAATGAACAGCAACTAAAAACAGGTTTTTGATTAATTAAATTCTCCCTGTTAGTAGCCCNGCAGCCTTTGTTTATAAGCATTATGCAACATATTAGAGAGAAGGCTTGGGGTTACGGTAACAATAAAGGCCGATAAGGAGAAAACCGATAAGTGATTCGGCCCCAGTAAGAGTCTGCTTACCCAACGGTCGTCATGGAGATAAATGACCACCAGAATCCTTCACCAACACCTTTTCGAAAACTGGTTGGAAATTCATCCCGGTTCGTGGTATCCTGTATGATTAGATAGGAAACGATGACAAGAGAAACTAGCTTCCGATAGTTCAACCTCAATCATACAATGGAATACGATTTCTAATTTACTTTAGTAATATGCTATATAGCACAGTCTTTAGTTAATACAACAAGAACACGTGCTGCACTCAGAGGGGGAAATTATTAACCAGGAATTTGGAGTTGAAAGCATATGTACTGCTTTAGATCTTTCAACCCTCTAAGTTTGTCTGTCTCGAGTACATAGACACCAGTCCTCATTTATCGTGCAGCGAGCGACATTTTACAGCTAGTCAACTAGAATTTAGCCTCATAATAATGTTGCATATGTTTATGGTAATACAAATGTACATCTTTTTTCTTCTATAGTCATGTACTTGTGCTCATTTCTTTGATTTTGTACCCGCTTAGATTATATAATACTCATGTGATTATTCCGCTGTAAACCGTAATTTAGGCTATCATCATTATTTTGACATGCATGAAGGTGTGCCCACAGATCTACTCCTAAAGAGCCTTTGTCGATCGATCAAATAACAGCGAAATGCTGTATACTCACCAAAAGCCAAATGATAAACCCGGAAATAAACGACATACATGCTGACAGTATCACCAATGGAAAGCAAGAAAACACAGCGTTTATCATGTTCGTTGCAGCTGCTCCCGGAATGCTCTTCGCAGCTACAAAAGCTAATCCTGGGGACTGCACAAGGTTAACATAAGCGTGAACCCCCCCAAATCTTGTAACGTATTTGTTGCCATAGATTGGAAAACTTATCTGTGGAACGTCGTCGATGTCACCAAGAACGTCTACAAGGCTTTCCTTGGCGGATGGCTGTTTATTTCCGTTTGAAGTTATGTCGATTTCAGTGGAACCGTATGCAGGACATTCTCCGCAAGCTGTATAAATCATATCTGTGACGATGTGACTAAAAATGCCATCCAGAGTATTATCTTCTTGATTCACTTTTAAATACGGTGGAGTTGACCAATAGTTTGTGTAAAGGGTCTTTGGGCAGCGACAGGTTTCTTAAAAATAAGCGAAAATAAGGAAGACTAACATTAGCCATAATATTAGAGGCTAGTCATTTATTATAGCCGGGGGAAAAGGAGTACGGGGGACGTTCTGAAGTATTTGTGACACAGAAGCTACCTGATCCCTGTGAAGCTTTGTAGTATTCGAATACTCCCTAGTAATTAGCAGTCATGATACTCTATGGTCCCCTCTTAAAACTATGTCGACGACTAACCATTCCCTGTGAAAATCATGTGATATTCCAAACCGTCCAATCCCCCACCTCCTCCCCCATTACCTTCCCCTTACTAATTTTCTAGTAATGGTATGTCTTGATAGGGAGAGCTAAGTTAGAGAGCATACCTATTTAGCCATTCGCTCTGAGTAGAGGCAAACGGTATAAACGTCAGCTTTGAAACTCCTCAAGGCGGCAAATTTGCATTATCCTTTTAGCTGCTACATCTAAATTAGTTTCTTAGGCTTCCCATTGATCGGCGCAGCACCACAATTTTTTTAAGAATTTCACCCCCTTCCTTTTTGTTCTCGTCGGACAAAGACAAAGAGAAGGAAAATGTGACGATGATGATGATGATGATGATAATGATGATGCTGATGATGATGATGATGATGATGATGATGATGATGAAGAAAAAGAAGATTGGGCCCAGTTCAAACGTCGAATTTCACATGTGCCGAGCTTAGTACGAGAGTTAAAAGCATGTGAAGCGCGACGTTTCAATCAATTAAATGCGACTTTCGCCGTATCTGCGACTGAAACAGTCGAAGATTGGACTTAGGTTCGACTTTTGATTCAAACGTCGCATCTCACATGTGCCGAACTTAATGTATGAATTATAGGAAATTATTATGATTCATTTATTACCCACAAATCACTAGGAATGAACGCCATGTTTACGCACAAAAAAATGGTGGCAGACGAAGGAATCTGTATTTCTTGCTTTGCAAAGACAAAATATAGTTTTTTCACGTGCGATCATTACTTTTCTATGAGGTGTTCGGTTATTGAAAACGAAGACGACACTCCTGGGTGGAAAGTAGAAAAATCTGCGGCATATTGTGGGTCGTGTTTCACTCAATGATGATGGAACGTGAATCAAGTCAAAGTATCATGACGAAAAGCCAAGATGACGAAGCAAAAAGAAATAGCAAAACAAAAGCATCAGTAAAGCAATTAAGCAAACCCTCAATAGACGTCTTCCTCTGGCAAATAAGTAGTGCGCCTGGGAATACTGACAGCAAACAGAGTTAAATTAGACGTTTGAATAAAATTGTCCTATTTAACTCTTTTAGTCGACTAAAATAGGAGTGAAGTTCGGCACATGCGAAATTTGACGTTTGAAATGGGCCTTACAAAGATCAAACCAACATTGGCTGTGGTCGCACTACAGAGTTGAATCGCGATTGAGGTATCTCTAACAACACTTTAGCCAATTCTCAAATGCGAACGTGCTTTTGCAATGGCCCTCCGAAAAGTTAAAAGGAAACGAGAACGAGAACGATTTGGATTTGATCAGCCATGCCGATATCTAAATCTATGAAACAGTAGAGTCAATAATAATGTTCTTTGTGAAAGAAAAGCGAACATGAGTGTCGTGCTGATAGCTCTGATATAACAGGTTTTCCGGTCTCATTTTGCAGCTAGCTAAATACCGATTCGCATCAGCCCTCTCTAATTAACAAATGGTAAACACCACAGCGTACACTATTGAGTTATGGATGCACGCGGGAGGTTGCTAAGCACGAAAGAAGCGTAAGAGTCGCTCGAGGCGATAGCCGAGAGCGACTCCAGCTTCTTGAGTGCTTAGCAAACCTCCCAAGTGCATCCATAATTCAATAGTGTACGCTGTGGTGTTTACCATTTGTTTTATAACATAAAATTGATACATTGTAGCGAAAGAGTTCCCTTTTATTTAACAAATCTTACGCGACCAGAAAAAACAAGCGCGCACGGAAACAAAATATTTGCATTTGCTCACGTCAGCAGCGTACACCCATGGGAAAATGGGGGACGCAAAATTGACCAATCAGAGCGCGCGCTTTACTTTGGTTATGTTATAAAATCATGATTAATTCGACTTAATCACGATTGCCATCTTTAGTGCGTCGACAGCCGTTGTCAAACAAAATTAAGCTCTGCAGCCTCATCAGTGATTGCAGCGTTAAGCTATTCCAAATTATTCATACCGGTACTTACCACCGAGTTTATATTCACTATAAGGCCCCAGGCCTTTCTGAGTGAAAGCTGCCACTCTGATTTCATAAACTGAGTAGGTTTGAACACTGAGTATTATCCAGAGATCATTTGATTTTGCTATGGCCGTCTCCTCCACCGAATAAACTAAATTTTTCTCGGCAGTTTTAACTCTTCGGTACTTTATAGAATATCCCATCAATAGACCATTGACGTGACCAAAAGGCACTTCATTCCAGGAGACTTTGATGGATTCTGCTGCCTTTAATTTCTCAGCTGCAACGTTTTGCGGAGGCTTACTGGGCGCTAGAAGTAAGGAAAAAGTAAATCAGGTTATTTGAATAAATTGATGAGTTTCTACCTATAGAAAAGAAGCTGAATGCCAAGCGGTCTAAGATTGAAGGGTCCGTTTTCTATCAGGATATTAAAAGAAAGTGTATGGACGAATGTTTTTCTCATACAACTTACAAAACAACGTTTTAGTCAATTCTCATTAACTAATTTAGAAGATCGCCGCTGTTTGACTGGATGTCGGCTGAGAAATAAATCCCATATTGACTACGCTCCATCACCTCCTTGTATTTACGTGTTTCTGAGGGCTTCTGAAAGTTTTACGAAAACAGTCTGGGGTAGATCTAACGGCCCAAAGAGATTGAGGTGGAAATGCTAGAGCATTTTATATCATACGATCTGCTACTCACCATCACCAAATGTGGTTGCAGTGTGAGACACATTTTTTCCACACCCTTTAGATGTCCTTGCGCAGATCACAACTTTGTACCGAGTGAAATACTCCAGATCAGATAAAACTGTCTCGTGTACGTTGAAATCAACTCTCTTATTCTCCCATTCCGATGATTCGTCATCCTTTGCGTACCTAACTTCGTATCCCACAAGTCTCCCGTGTACGAAATCTGGGCTTATTGGCCCCCAGGACACATGGATTATACTTGAACTTGTTGATGTAACAACACTGTCAGGGGGAGGCTGGCTTGGCACTTGGATGGAATAGAAACATGGTAACGTCAACGCACGTAAACCCAACCCCTCCCTCTGCCTCACTGTGAGTTCCCAAAGCTTCCAGACGGGAAGCCCTTCAGAGAAAGGGGGGTCAAGCTTCTTCTAAATTGTTGCCCATTTTCATGACCATTGTATACAAAGTGCATTCCTTATTTTGAAAACCTATGGTAATGAAAGCATAAATAAGTGCAGTTTTCAAATGCGGAAAACAAAAAAAAAATGTACCGCATTAACTATGCCAGGTGATGACAATGGAACTACTAGTTTGGGTATTTTTGACTCAGGAGAGAGGGTTCTAAAGAAGTCTATTAGAGTCCCTGTAAAAAGATTTCCCATGTTTTTTTGTTTTTTTTTTCGATCACGTAATTTCCAATCTTTTTTTGATATTTTTTATCCATAGGTATGCTGCTTCTCGGACTTCTGTTTTTGTCGTGGCCCCTATCATATTTTTCTTCTTTACGAGACTGATACTCTATGGTTTTTCTCCAAATAAGAAGTCTGTTTTACGACTTAATTAAAAAAAAAAATACCCAAAATTTCATTGCTACTACCTTAAGTCTTGCTGTGTTATTTCCATCCGCAAAGCCTTTCAAAGGTTGGACATCAATAGTATACCACCCCAAGAGAACAAAGATTAATGGAATAACTATCCTTGACAAATTATAAATTAGAGCACCATATTAAAATCTCTTAGTCGCCATCAGATATCACATTCATTTAAATAAAGAAGAAAGATTTTCTTATGAAAGTATTAAAGTTCTCCATAGTCTTATCTTCCTAAACTTACCATCTTCTTGAGTTCTTACGGTGACATCGTCACTTGGCACTCCGTTCCCTTCATTTGTAAAGGTAAACACACGGATGGTGTAATTTGTGAATTTTTTTAAATCCTCCAGCACTGCTCCAGGTTCAGTGGCTGGAACTGACTTTATGGTATTAGTCTTGAACTTTTTACCGGTTTCTTTGTAGACGATCATGTTTCCCAGAAATGGGGCGGAAGACCTTTGCATCCACTTTATGTCAATACTCGTTGATTTGGTGCTGTTGGCTTCCACAATCTCAGGAGCTTGTTGTGGTACTGGGAAAAAAAAAAAGACAAGATTTATGTGACCAGCTGAAATTAACAGGAGGGTAGAAGCATAGATGGCGTCACCATTAGCATGTTCTGGCTTCCTTGTTATATCAAACCACAGGCGTCTCAAGCTCACGTCTCGAGGAAAAACGATCGATTATTTCTTGAAAGCGTCACGCGTTGTGTGACGCTGTTTTAAGTTACGTGAGGTACGTTTGGGAATTTAAATGCGTTATTAAGAATAGTACGGGCAACAAAATATGATCCATTAAGAACACTTAATATTCCGAAATATGAATACTTTTACAATTAAGATTGATAAAAAGCTGACTCACTTCTTATGTGTCCATTGTTTTGTTTGGCGTTTTGTGCTTGCTTCACCGTCACTGTTTTTTCTTATATCACAAAAAACCGTGATGGCAAAGCAAACCCGAAATGGCGGAGATCGCCAAAAGACACAACGGACACACAAGAAGTGAGCCATTTTTATCGATCTTAACAGTAAAATGTTCATATTTTGGAATATTTAGTGCTATAAGTGGACCATATTTCGCTGGCCATACTATTCTTTATAACGTATTCAAATTCTCTACGGTTCCCCGCGTAACTTAACACCGCGTCACACAACTAGTGACGATTTCACGAAATAATCTTTCGCTTTTCCTCGAGACGTGAGCTTGGGACACCTGTGATTAAAGACGTAGATTTTGTGTTGCCGTAGATCTATTCAGTAACCGATCATCGCTGAACAGGGAGCTGCTGCCTAGTAAATGCCCGAACGACGCGTTCGATCTTAGCTTCAGTCATTTTTGTTTTATTACAGACACAGATTTCTCTTTGACTTGGGCTGATGAACTTTTCTATGCTTACCGTTTCTAGTTTTGATATTGCGTAACTCAACTGGAATGTCTCCCAGTGTTCCTCCTTCTATTTCCTCTAAGAAAGAGACGATTTGTAACGAGTCTATGCTCTCATAGATGACGTCAAAACTAGAGATGACACTTCCTTTCCTACAGAAAATAACATAGAAACGATTAAAAATTTACAAAGTAAGGCATTATTAAAAACGGGTTCTGAGATGAATTGGACTGCAGTTAGAGGGGGAAATAGACTGTTTGTCTAAAAGACAGGATTTACCAAAACTTTAGCTCCTCAACATTTTCATCCGTTTTGTGGTAGAAGTCCTTAACCTAAAAGAGATAATAATCATTGACACTATTCTCAGACCATCTACATAAAGAACTAACCAAATCAAATTCAACTTATTTGGTAGATCAAAAACTGACGAAAAGAAATCATGAAAATAGTATATTTACGGCTTTTTTGATTCTGTTCTCAAGTTCCACGTACTCTTTACTTTTCGGTACTGCAAGATAATCTTTCCATTTTTCGTCTTTTAATTTAACCTCGTATTTTATTTTCTCGGCTGAAAAGAGAAGAAAAGTTAACAGATATGTGAGGCTATATTATAGGGACCGCATGAGTAAATCAGATTGACAGACAGAAACACTCCGCATGCAAAACGATATCTGAGCGTCATATTCTCTAAAACAGATGCAAAACTGTCGTCTCGAAGGTAACGTTAGGATTCTTGTATAGGATGATAAGAGACCCCCATTTCGTTGTTCTCATCGTTTTAACCTTTGAGCTTCTTATTGCGACATTTGAAAGGCTAAGAAAAGTAAAATATGCAGAAAGCTTCTACCTGGGCACTCTTCTTTGTTACATGGTTCAGTTTCAGAGGATAAACCTTCGCAGCTTTTTCCACCAAAAGCTGGGCTAGGGTTATCACATACACGCCTCCTTGTTCTTGTTCCATTGTTGCACGGCTTGTTGCAGTTTGGCCATGGCGTCCATAGGCTCCAGTTCCCATGAACTTAATGAATACAAGGTATGTTATAAAAGAGAGGTAGTAATCTTTATCATTTCATCCTCACATCTCTCAATTCCTGAGAACTTCACCCGTAAGGAAGTGTGTTTGATAAATGACTATAAGAACGAGTCTGTAAGAATCAAACATCTTGGGATGTGAAAGTTTTCAACCCCCCATCAAATTTTGCAGGCAGTTAGGCACTCAGGGGGGATGCAAAAAATGCTCTTTATGAAGGTTGCAGCACTCTTGTTTCCATGGTAACAACGGCTGCTTGTCTGAGACCTGGGGCCTCATTTTCATATAAAAACATCGCAAAAAAGAGCAAAATGTTTAGTTCTCTATGTCAAGCTGAATACAACTTTACAAATTGGTGCCTCTACCATATGTAGTGACATGCTTCATCTTCACTTTAATACATTCAGTTTTCTCTGGGAGTGAACACACCATTAGATTATTTATCTCGGTACATTTTCCGTCATTTTAGTTGTAGGGTAAAACTGGGTGAACGTTCATCTAAGTTTTTCCAAAAGTGCACCGATTCTGGAGCTGAAACTACCCACCTAGTTGGTTATCATATTCTAGCTTTTAAGTATATAAAAATCTCTGCGGTCGGCCTCTGATTTTCATGGAAGCAATTCGTGAACGAAACTCAAAAATCAAATATTGCATAATTTGGCGATGTTTACATGTTCTCAGCAACAAACGTTTCGCACAAATGAAACTTACGAGGCTTTGAAAGAATGTTATCTTATGAGGAGTATCCCAAAGAGAAATCCTGTCTCTGGCTATCATCTTTTAAAACAAGTTGATCAGCCTCATAGAGGACTACTCGTCATAATTACAAACATATACCTCAAATCGTGTGCACATCGTCCAGATTCCGAGTGCTACACCTTCATTCATGGGAATTTGAGCAATCCGAAACTCTCTGTAGATACACTGTTATATTTGTATGTCATTTGAAACATGTTAAAGTCGGTTGATCTACACGAAACTATCCTATCACCGGTCATTAGTCATAAACATATACTTTATCATGATGGTGTGACGCTGTATTTCTCCATGAAGTTTCAATTGGCCGCTCCAAAGAAGACTAGAAATGGACATTTTTCGATATTTCAAACCGATAATCTTAGAGAATAAATCGCAACTTGTCAGCGGTAGTACTCCATGTAAAACCCAGGTGCAACAATAGCAATTTGTACGACTCGCGCGAAAACCATCTCAAAGTCAGTGGAGATTTCAAACAACTCAGTATCCCTGCAGTACAGCAAATGAAACAGGGATTTCATCACGATCAATTTCCAAAAATCTAGCTTTTTTCAGGGAGTCTGTTACATGCTCGAACATTATTTTGGCTTTGAATCTTGAGATGTATTCCTCTTGATAATAAAATGCTGTAGTAAGTGCCTACAAAATTATAAAGGTCCTTTTTTGGTGTCGCTTGGACCAAGGAGTACATATTTGAAATAATTAATGCTGTCATTGATGAACCAATGCAATTGACATAATCTTCTCAATTATTAGCTTGATAATCTCCACAGACGGTCCCCTTTTTCTTCCCGACAAGTCGGCCATCTCAGGGGGAAATTAAAGAGACCTTTGACTTCCTCTCGTGTAACTCACTGGGAGATTGTGTTATATTCATCTTTATTTAAGCTTGTAAAATATATTCTGGAAAAAATTATGGAAAATAATCATGATGAAATCTCCGTTCTTTCTCCTGAAGGACCTGAAGCAATCCAGATTACATATTAATCATGGGGAGTTTCGTTCCAGTGACGAGTTGCGATTTGGGTGTGGATAAGGTGGAATTATGGCGTTATGATTTCATTAAATCTTTTATTTCGAACTTTGTTATGATTTCTTTGTTTGTCATCAAGACACGGAAGGAACCATTGACTGACTCGATTGCACTGCGGCTGAGATAAGTCTCTCCTCATCATATCTTATGCAACTTTTCTAACAGTTTTCTAACAGTTTCAGATGATTCGAAATACCTTAGTTCCTGTCACTAGGAAATGAAAACTGCCCGAGTCTGCTCTTTGTAAGGAGACGCATATGTCGTACAAATTGCAATTGTTGCAACTGAGTTATACATGGAGTACTCCTGCTGACAAGTTGCGATTTATGCTCTCAGAAACCGCTTTCAGATTCTGAGTTTTACGAGCGTTCAATCGAGGTTTTTCTGTTTTTTCTTTTATTATTGTTTTTACTTCAGAATGCGCAGAAATCTGCTGAAATATCGAAAAATGTCCATTTCTCTTCTTCTTTGAAGCGACCGATGGGAACTTCACGGGGAAATACTGCGCCACGCCATCGTGATAAAGAACGTATATATGACATATGACCGGTGATGGGATAGTTTCGTGTTGGTCAGCCGACTTTAACATGTTTCATATGACATACAAGTATAACTGTGTATCTTCAGAGGATTTTAGACTGCTCAAATTCCCATGAAAGAAGGTGTAGCACTCGGAATCTGGATCATATGCACTCAATTTGAGGTATATGTTTGTAGTTATTTCGAGTAGTCCTCCATGAAGGAAGATATCTTCAGTTAAAAGATTTCTCTTTGGGTTATTGCTCATAAGATAAGCTTCTTTCAAAGCTTCGCACGTTTTATTTGTTTGAGACGTTTTTTGTTGAGAACATTAGATGTAAACATTGCCAAATTATGCAATATTTGATTTTTAAGCTTCGTTCGCGAATTGCCTGCATGAAAAGTAGAGGCCGGCCAACAGAGATTTTTTTATATTTAAAAACTAAAATATTATTAGCAACTAGGTGGTTAGTTTTAGCTCCAGAATCGGTGTACTCTTGGAGAAACTCGGATAAACGTTCTCCCTGTTTTTCCCTACAACAAAAATGACCAAAATTGTACCGAGATAGATAATCTATTAGTGTGTTTACATTCGCTCCCAGGGAAAACTGAATGTATCAAAGTAAAGACGAAGTGAAAATAAATGGCGTCACTATATCTGTAGAGGTACCAATTTGTAATACTGTATTTAGCTTAAGATAGAGAACTAAACATTTTACACTTTTTTTTTCGATGTTTTTGTATGAAAATCAGGCCACAGGCCTCTAACAAGCAGCCGTCGTTACCATGGCAACAAGAGTGCTGCAACCTTTAAAAAGGGCACTTTTATACATCCCCCTGAGCGCCTAACTGCGTGCAAAATTTGAAGGGGGGTTGAAAATTTTCACTCCCAAGGGGTTTGATTCTTACAGAGACTCGTTCTTAAATGCCACCTTTTAACCACAGAGAATGTCTAGCATTCGTTTCTCCTCAGAGTATCAAGGCTGGGTCACGCATTAAGGCAATGAAAGTAAAGGAAATGATCACCAAAAAAAATTTAGAAATATTTCATTTATAAAACAATTTCTCCTTTCAGTACACTGTCGGGATATATCTGAAGAACGTTGCGGGTAAATTGCATTCTGATGTCAGGGTTTAAGTGTTAAATTGTATGATTATCGTCCGTCTTACGCAATGAAACTTGGATGAGTCAGTCCATAGATAAATTTTGGTCTTTCCATTCCTGGCCCTTCTCTGATTTTTGATGATCTCTTTAATATTTTGGATATCATTTATCCGTTAGGAGAGACTAGTATATAATATCTCATTACAGTATCAAACATCGTAGTTTATTTTAAGGACGGTAATGATCAAGGCGTTCTTGAAGGCCCGCGCTTTGTCATCCTTGTAAAGATATAGAAACAACCACCACCACCAACCAATATATTCTGCATACTTACTTTCATGTATAGTTTTTATTACAATTTAGCTAGTCATTATAAATTAGTTTTAATATTAAATTTTAGTATCGTAAGCTTTCACAGATGAAGAGCCACACCTTTTTATGTGGATATACTGTGAATAAACCGTTATTATTATTATTATTATTATTATTATTATTATTATTGTTATCATTATTATTATTATGATCATGATACCATGCAAACTGCATAGAGAACAGTGTGGAGAATATGTGTTCCTACTGAAGGACAAAAAGGCTTAGGATTATTGCCAAATTACATCAAATGAACTTTTGCCATCAATATTGGGCCTACACTGGCCTACCTTAAATCCCTTACAATAAATACAATATGATTAAAATGGGGTCAATTGGGAAGGGTGAAACTCTTCTAACATTGCGTAACCAATTGCGACTTTGGGTAACCTTAAGGCGACTTAAGGCGACCTTAGGCGACTTAAGGCGACTTATAATTAAGGTGCTAGAGCAGGCCTAATAATAATATATTACACCTTCCAACCCTGACTAAAGTAACAACATTGTCGAACGTGATAGTGCATCACTTTACCTTTATAGGACAGATGACGCGTCATGCCTACGTAATTGTAGGATACGCGTCAATTCTCGTGCATTTTATCGCGCTAATTGTTGTTGTTGTTGTCGTTTAATTTGTCGTTGTTGTTGTTGTTATTTTTTAAAGAAAACCTTTAGATGACGGCTTCTTTGTTGCTTCCTTTTTTTCAATGTTTTGATTATTTGGTAACCGGAATTCGTGTCGTTCAATTCTTTCTGTGGTAATTCTCGCGACTTACTGGTTGGATTCCCGCTTTTAAATTCTTCTGGGATTTGTTAAATAACGAGTTTGACTATGGACAGAATTGGCGCGACTCCGCTCAGTCATATTGCCATTATTAATAGGGGTGCCAAATGATAATTAACGTTGAACTGCAACTACCTGATATTAGACTAACTTACCTATCAGGTTCTGACATTTTTTACCAGTATATCCAAAGGCACAGTTGCAAATAAAATCCTCTTGACCACTGTTTCTGGTACAGTTTCCTTCGTTTTGACAAGGGTTAGGGGAACAAGGATCGTCTGTGGAGACGTAAAAGACTGCGTTAGTGGACACTACAAGGCAGGACCAGCTGTCTGAATTTTGCGTCGAGTAGTTTTGCAATTCTCTCCTAACACAAGTTAGATTCAAAACAGAGTGACTTATAAAAAAAGAGCCATGTTGGTAAATGAGATTTTGAGACAACTTCCCCTTGTTGAACCAAAATATCGAGATCCTGGACATGGAATTTTTACAGGAGGACCATTTTTTGCTCATATTACATTAGACCGTTAACACGTCGCCAGTACTATCAACGGAAAATAGCTCTCTTGCTCGCATGAGTCCCAATGCGATCATACAGATCTTAGAGGCAACAGTAACACATGGTACAAGTCAACAGTTTGAAAGCAGCCCATTTCTAGTTTGATTTTTGTCGCACTAAGTACTCCAATTATTACAAATATATTTTTTGGATAATATAACAACGATTAGGGTTAAGTATGATGCAGGATCCTCGCAGTAGAGAGCGCTATTTATGCAATAGCGAGAATCAGACCTGAAAAAAATCAGGCCTGTACGGGATTCGAACCACTGACCTCTGCGATACTAGTGCAGCGCTCTACCAATTGAGCTAACAAGCCAACTGGGAGCAGGAGGTTAAGTTGATTCATAATAAACCCGTGATGATAAATCGGATACAATGAATATGTGAAGTTCAAATATATGAAATTCATATATTCATTGTATCCAATTAGGGTTAAGAGGTTCGAAGACTGATAGGCACAAACGCAAGGTAAAATTTTAATCTTTATTAATTTTAGAGCATTCAATTAAAGCTTTCAGACGCGAAACCAGATTTGTTCTTTTTAGGGCATCCAAATCAAGTTATAGACAAAGATAAATATACTAGATTTTCTTTTAAAACTTTCATATCTGTAATCAGATTTCACTCTAACCCTGGGTTACCATAACCCAGCTTTGAACAACCTGGCCCTGCTCGATAAGTGGAAGTTTTCTTTAAGATAACATACGTTTTTAGATTAGGCATCACCTTTCAGAAAGCCGCAGTCAAACCCAATATACTCTGATGTGCATTTGCATGTGTATCCCAATGCATTATTCTGCTGCACACATGTTCCACCATTCTCGCAAGGGTTGTTGTCTGGATCTGAACACGGATCGACTATTGAAATATGACAGTAGGTTAACTGAGCATGCAGAACATATACTATTGGAACTCTCTAACTCTAGAAGTAACTCGAAAACAGTCTTGTTATAATGCTATTGTGTTTGATCTAAACTTGGTATTAAAAATGAAGTTTGCCACCTTTCCTGTAATTTTTACAAAACGAAACCTAGTGAAAAAATAAGTTAATTATAAGTTAATTATAAGTTGGCTGTTTACCTTTCTCAACAATGTTGCACTGACTGGCTGTTCGACAGACTATCTAGATGTGTGACTGATTGAAGGATTTGCCTTACCGACTGAAAGATGGACTGAAAGATGGAGAGCAAGTGAGCGAGCCTTTAGACGACCAAAGCGAGTGAGTAAGTGAATAGTAGGTTGGTTTACATACTGACTGACTTACTACCTGATTGACAAACTCGAGTATTCGAGTTCTTTAAAACATTCACTGATTTATCGATTTGGCTGTTGCCCTGGAAAAAAATTATACTGAATATGTCAGTAAGAGAAACTCTATCATAGGAGCCTATATTACCCTCCTTAATGCCACAGTTAAATCCAATATATCCTGAATGGCAGTTGCATTCAAAACCCAGCGGGTTACTATCCGGTTTGCAGGTTCCTCCATTGCGACAAGACTCGGCGGAGCACGAATCATCTATAGGAAAAATACTTAGCTTTGGGATGCTCTGATGTAAAATGTACAACATTTTATCGTATTAGTAATTTTCATGTGTTTTTCGAATTCATTCCAAACTCAAGTAAAAAATCAGACAGGGCTACTGCTACTAACATAATGTCTAAAATGCACGATTGTCAAGACCTTTTTTTATAAGGTAACCGACACAACCAAAAAAACCGATTACTAGATACACAATTGATGCTTGAACGCGCTACCGGATTTCTTTCGCTTTGCTTTCATTTGATTTGTAATGGGTTTGGAAAATCAAGCGACGAGTTAAGCCAATGGAGGTATTTCACCAATCAGGACCTAGGAAACAACTTCCCCAATGAAGTTTGCAAGCATTTCCTTTTGGTTCTGGGTGGTCGTTGCAATATATAACTCTTTTTCTGATTGGCCGTTCTGGTTTTACTTTTACCAGAAACAGAAAGAAAATTGATCGGTTGCAGAGATAATGGGGAGGAACAGGGCTGAGAAAATAAAATCACTACTATGGTACTTGCAATGCTGAAAGAAGCACAGCTACTCAATTCAAAATTTACGAGGAAGTCTAACCCTCAGAGAGAACAAAATACAGCCTTACGACGACTATCGCTCCGTCAGCTAAAACCCTGAATTCCTACTTTTTGCTTTTGATTTAAAGGTCTCTAAGAGGGTCTCATTGGGATCAACCTTTAGCAGTAAAACGGCCAAAAAATTCTGCGGTAAATCATAAAATTTTGACGCATTTTGATTGTTGATTGTAAAAAGAAGGTAACGGTAAAAAATATTGCTCTTAATTGCAAAGGAAGGAATTCAACCGTTAGCCGTAAAATACCCAAAATTTTTACCGTAAACCGTGAAAGCCGTTACGCCATTGAGACCCTCCTATAAAAACTTTATTTTCAGATTACGTTTTGCATATTCACAGTTATATCCAACGTATCCTGCAGGACAGACACATTTGAAATCTCCTGATACATTGTTATCTGGTAAGCACGTTCCTCCATGCAGACAAGGATGAGATTGGCATACACAGGCTATTAAAAAAATGATAATAAAAACAATCAAATTTTTTTTTATCGAATTGGCTTATTTTGGGAGTGTCAAGCGTCCTGCCTAAAATGTTGGCTTAATTTTGTATTAGAATTATCTTTCTACAGAAACACGAGTCCATTTATTTTTTTCTTGTTGTTCATTTAAACATAGCCCCTCTTTAACCGAATACCACTAAGTTTAAGAAACAAAAGAGTTTCTATTTGGTGTCAAATCAGTCATATCTTCCTTTGACTGTTTGGTTGTAAACTGGCAGAAAGGTAATAGGAATGAAGGATGCGAAAATGTTCATTAAATAAAGAAGAGGAAAAATGGCGCGATCTAAATTTCGCTTAGAGAGAAATCAATGTATCTTGAGAATTCCTCCTATAGAAGCCTTCCGAGATTACACATGGGGGATGATCAGTTTACCCGGTTTATAACTGCAGTCTCCTGATGAACAATCACAATCAAAACCAATGCCGTTATCTTTCGTTTTACAAGTCCAATTTCGTGGACAGGGGTTGTGACTGCAACGGTCCACTGGAAAGAAATTGGACACGAGTTTTAATTGCAAAGAAACTAAGCTGACAAAAGAATGAGAAAAAAAAAGTAAAATATCACTCTGATGGTCTGGTATAGGGTTAATCCCGAAACGAACTCTTGACGTGGCTGACCAAGAAACTGACAAACCAAGGAGACGTCAAGTAATTGGACAAAGAAATCAAAAGCTTGCTTTGGTAAAAAAACAAAAAAAAAACAAAAAATGGCTCTTCATCGACTAAGGTCAGGTGGGGCCTTTTCTGACTGCATATTAACAAAAGAGTTCCCTCTTTTCCCTGCTGCTGCAACGTTGTGGGACTAAGAACAGTTTTACGGTTCCTCCGACTAGTATACGGGTTATAAGGGCATTCGAGATTTTGCAAACATTTTGTCAGGTAGCCCTATTTCATCCCTGGTACCCATCTATCTTCTCAAGTTTTTAGAGGCAGTGGGAGGGTAAATTGTCTTATTCGTGAACCCATTGTATTGCGGACGCCGTTGCAAATTACAGTTTTCATTAAAAACATGCTGTTTCAAACCTATTCGGATGCCACAGTTAAAACCAGCGTATCCAGACCGACAAGAACATCGAATGAACGGCCAGGATTTTACAGGCCGACAAGTGCCACTGTTAAGACAAGGCTCGAGATCGCATGCATTTGCTGTAAAAAGAGAAGATTGTTATGGGTTTTCAATGATTTATGTTATCCAGTTATGAAAAACAATGATTGGATGAGGTTGTGCGGGATATTATCATCTATGCTGTCGTGCCACTCAAAAATTGCAAAAGTCTTTGTGCCTTGGAGACTTAATTAACTGTTTAAATTTATTGTTGTTTGTTTTTTTTTTGTCATGTTGGCGAAAGTTTCTGTTTTAACTTAAGGCCTTGTTTTATTTGTTGTTGTTGTTGTCTTTTTTGTTGTTGTCGTTTTCTGTTTTATTTTGCTTTGCTTTTCATGCTTCATGCTATTTGTTCGTTCGTTTTTCCTCTTTCTTCACTAATTGCTTTTTCGTGTGCCTGATCAGGACTTTAAGGTGAGTTGTATGTATTTACCTATTCGGGTTCTGCAGTTGAAACCAATGTGGATAGAAGAACAAATGCATTTGAAATAAGGCCAGTATCTCATTGGTGAGCAGGTACCTCCATTTAAGCAAGGTTTACTAAGCTTGCATAAGTTACCTGTTAAAAGAAAATGCCGTCATTCTGTTAGTGTTAAAACTAAATGCTAGCATAGAGTTTTCGTAAATAGGATTCGTTATAGATTCAAGACTTTGAGCTTGAGGCGTTAACAAAATGCCTGAACGTGGCTGGGGTAATTAGGATAAACACGGGCTCATGATATTTCAAAATCCACCAAAGTATTACGAGCCATAAGACAGTAGGTAATATATGAGGGGTTTTAAAATATTACGAGCAAGAGTTTATCCCAAATACTCTGCAGAAAGACGTAATGCTGTCCTGTTTCTTCCACGAATAACGTCTTAAGCTTCACATCAAGTTCCTTGGCGTCGTAGCTCACAGTATCCGAGCTGAATCTTTATTCACCCTATGTTTTCCAGATTGCTTTCATTTTCTACGTTTTTTTCAAGCTCCAGCCATTTCGTGTCACAACTGGGATATCTTTCCACCATTGCTTCAAATTAGGAACAATCTCATTACTGTTACCATGAAACTGTAATGTTTACATGTAAATATTTTAATTTTGGCTGAAATACTTCTTGTCTTGGCCAGTTAAATTTCAGAAATATCACAGCTTGAGGTATAAGAGCACTGCAATGAAGGCATAATGCCTGTGTAATTGGCAGTAGGTGTCGTTTCACGCGGTTCTCGTTAAATCTCTTTAATTGTATAGTTTAATTTGTAGCGAGACCTTTTGTCGCCCATTTTCGTCTGAGATACGTATTGTTGAAGGCTTTTTTTTTTAAAGCAAACGAAAACGCTTAATTTTCGCCCGAATTGATTCCCCCTAATCCACTCGCCATCTCTAACAACATAGCTTTATGTTGTTTTAGTTAGTCTGTGGTTTATAGTGGTCACTGTTGAAAAAACTCAGCGTATTTACCTAATCTGCAGGTATCACCGTAAAACTCGATAGGACAAATGCAAGTGTAGTTCTCGTTGATGTAATCAGGAACGCATCTGCCTCCATTCTTACATGGCTTGTACCTCAAACACTCGTCTAGGAAAATCAATTGAAAGAAAAAAGTTTTCCTTTAGACTAAGAATCAAAAGTGAATCAAGGTCTCGTAATTAGTGACACTGCATCATATAGCTAACAAGCCAATCAAGAAGGACAAAGTTGACTGCGATTGGCCAAGTCGCAAGTACTTTTGGTTTCCATCGAGAGGATATTTGAAGTTGTCTGAGCCAAGCGAGTAGCATCTTAAAGAAAGCCATACTTTCCTGGAGTAGTTTCGAGAATAAAATAGTTAAGTGACTAAAGTAGTCCCGCAGCGTAGGAGTGGTCCTCAGAAAAAGATCGTCGTGTCCCTCATGATCAACAGACAGAAAAAAAATGTCATCGATGTTACTATAGATATTCTGAAAAAAACATCTGTTCTCTGCCCTCCATTTTCATTCCCTGCTCTGTGAATTAACTACATCCGTGGTACCTTTACAACCATACAGCTCCATTCTCATTTCTATGGTTCTTCTCCAAGCCCGTGGATAGATACGGATGAGGCTTGTTCTGATGGGTGTACCTAGTTCGTTGCGAAAAACAGTGTTTCTGTCTATATTTCCGGGGAATTCCTAAAATTAAAGAAAGATATCATGCATACTTTACGCACCTTCAAGAGGGCTAATCTCACTACTGAAAGGTTTTAAGCTTATCTGTCTGATGATCGCGTGAGCGTGAAACTCAGAGTCTCAGAAAAAGTTAAGTCTTACTGATTAGTTCAATCTCCGGATATACCACGCTCTGGAAAGGCATCGAGCACTCTACTGCAAGGATAGACTCTAGCCAAGTTTAATACAAAGAGAAAAAAACTTACAACTGTCGACAAAAAAAACGCTTGCCCCACTTAACGGAAACTGCCTCCAAACATCAGTAATATACCAAGCCACCGTCACACGTAAGGATAACAACACCTCTGAAACATACATGGACTCACAGAAAACGACTTTAAAACTAGCTACAGAAACCACACGGCATCTTTCCGACACATAAAAGATAGAAACTCTACCGAACTGGACTCTTAAAGAAAGTAATGTCGACCATGTTATTTCATGGCGCATCCTATCACCTAGGTCACCCTACAACAACGCAAGTAAAAGATGCAACCTCTACCTAAAAGAAAAATTACTCATCATCTGGCGACCTGAATTATCATCACTCAATAAAAGTAATGAACTTGTGTCCTCATGCCGCCACAGAAACAAAGCACTAGTGCGAAATAACTGAACAAAGCAAAAATTCACCGCCACGCCATCGGGGATTATATATTAGACCACTAAGAACTAAGAAGAAGAAAACTAAGAAAAAGACCTGTGAAGTAGCGGTACATTATATTTTAACAAAATACCACATGATTTAAGCGATTTCTCATTCCAGTGCATTGAACAAGTGCAGGCGACCGTAAACAATTCAGGTAAAATCGAGAAACTTTTAATTACCAAAGAAACATATTGCAGCGCACAGTTGTTTTTTCTGGTACCTTTTGGCTTGAATAAGCGCCAGGAATTTCACTCCAAAAAAATAATAAACTATGATTAATGTGGAGAATTTTTCTAAATTGGGCGGGCATCAAATGTCCCGGTCTCAGTTTTGGTTGGGAATTTTGGTACAATTCTCGCCTCATTTCAACGCTGATTCCTTAACACTTTTAGTAGACTCGACAATGTTTTAGTTTCTCTGTTTGTTTTTCTCGTAGATTGTGATAATTTTGTAGATTGTGATAATTTTTCGCGTAGTAATTACTGTTTTTTTTAATACGTGTCATCACGCCCTCCTTGTAAACCTATTTAAGGAGTTTGTAAGTTATTGTATCACAACTGATGAAAGTCTTGGACAGAAATGATATTTATTGCCAAAGAGAATAAATTAATTTTTGCAACCTGCGCCGCGATTCATCATTACCCCGGATGGGTTACATCCGGGACTTACAATGGCAGATACTTAAACATACGAACATGTGATTTCGGGCCTCTTTTAGTTAAGATTCGGTGCAGGGCAAACATTTCCCACCCTATTAACCCGCCCATTATTTTCAAGCATTCCCATAGGTGCGTTGAGTTCTCATTCGATGGGAGTTTGCCATCACCTTTGCTGGGATTACATTTTATTTCCGGTTTTACTGTAATTTGATTTGGTATTAAAAATAAACAGTCACTCAACTGAGTAGTCAAATTACGGCAAATAAAGGTTGTCCGTTTAATTCTCCCAGCAAACCGAGTTAGCCCCTAGCAATGCACAGTGTACAGCACTGGGTTATTGGCAAGCGAGCAAGATGCATAAACGTTTTTTATTAAACTTTTTAGATTTTTTATTGAGTGTATGTCTTCCTTCGCTCGAAGTTGTCCGTCCTCGAGTGCCACACTACTT